AAAAAAAAAAAAAAAAAAAACAGCGGTGCACTAGGCTACCAGCCGGGGCCGCCCGAGTCCTGGGTGGCCAGCCCGTGCAAGGACCAGGGAAGGTCCCAGCAAAAAAAATAAAAATAAATAAATAAATCCGAAAACAAAACTATGTTATGCAGAAAAATAACTGAACAACTTTTGCCTTAGGGTCACATCGAAATTCTTCACCAAATTTAGAATAAAAAATAAAGTTAAAAAATAATAAAATATGCTTTCTTTTTTTCTTTTTTTTTTCCTGCCCAGCCAGGCAAGTTACCCCGGGCCACTCTGGTAGCCTAGGCGGTGCACTTTTCTTCTGTTCTGGCTGGTGGCGCTCGCCATTTTGGTCCGGTAGTACTGTTCATCCGAAGAACCCAGATTTTAGCAAAATTTCAATTCTCAAGATTGCCTGGGTGAGGTAGTGGAGGTTAAAAAGGCACACTGTAAGAGCTGCTCAGCAAAAGGAGAATGGGAGAGAGGGAGAGTACCTTTTGCTCGGTCGTCCACATCTAGAGCTACATCTGTGAAGAGGTCCTGTAATATTGCCCTGCGATCCGTTGGCTCATCAATTGCCTGCGGGTGCGCGCACCACATAAACATAACAATCAGATCATATCTGAATATGCATACCGTTGCCGCGCTCCAGTACACGACATTCCAAGCGTATTTCGACATCATTTTTCGGTCGATAATAGACATTCAAAATTTCAAATGGTTTGCTGAGTCACAATGAATCTGTCAGTCAAACAGTATAGAGACGCACACCGAGTCAAGTGCACACCAACCACAAAAAAAAGCAAAAAGAAAAAAAGCAGATGTTAGCTGAACATACGTACCGTGACATCAGGGCGTGCTCTCGTACACAGCATTCCAAATGTATCTGGACATGATTTGGCCTATATGTGATGACCCGACCAAACATGGACTGAAACACACGGCTGATTTCTGAGTTTTGCTCATGGACTGAATGCCTTGCTGAGTTTCCCGCTTGCTACTAAGTCTGTGTGTGTGCACGCTTGCTGGACTGCATGTCTGTCTGAGTGCTGGTTGGCTCGAGTGTGTGCATGGCCCGTAAGGGCACTTGTTCGTTCGTTGGGCCCTCAGGGCCGGTACTTACCTGTGGCCGTGACATTGAGGGATTGCAGTGGGGAAAACACTCAAGTAGCACGTAGGCCGGTACCGCACCCTGAAGAGGTAGATGTGCGGGTACTGGAGGCCGAGCAAAAGAAGACAAAAGTGGCATTTTGAGAGGCCCAGTAGTTGTGAATCGGAGCGCAAAGGCGGAAAAAGGCAAAACAAGGAAACGAAAAGAAGGAAGGAAGGAAAGCCCCACCTGTTCATCACCTCTTGCGTACAAGGCCAGCCACGTGGATGACAGGTTGAGCGCTGGCTGCCCCCATCCCCGTGTGTCACAAGGACCCACTTGTATGCAACCAAAAGGCAAAGAGGTAAAGAAAAGGAGGAGGAAACCTCCTGACAGGGAAACAAAGCAAATGACGCATCCCACAGATAATCCAATTGTCACAAAGCAAATAACACATCCCATAGATCAACATATTTTTTCTTTTTCCTTATTTTCTGATTTTCTTGTTTCTCTTTTTTTCTTTAACTGTTCCCACCTCGGCAGATAGGACAGCTACGGTGAGGATGATGTGGATGTTCACAAGGATACCAAAGGAGAGTTGCGCCAGCACAGCATTCAGCAGGACGGCTAGCACGAACCATCCCATCAAAACAGTCCTGACAGAGGACATGTTGTCCACATGTCAAAAGAACAGCAGGACGTTCATCACAGTGCGGCATCATGCAGTTCTGATAGCGTCCTTGGGCACAAACGTGACAACGTATATCTGGGTGATAGGGATGTGTACAATGAGGAAATTTTGGACACCCTTCAGCACAGACAGTGGTAGTCGCAATAGATTGATAATGGTGATGGCATAGACGATGAATGCCACAACCAAGACACACCGCGTCTCTGCCCCGACAGGTGTCACACGAGAGTCGGTCAATAATCCAGAATAAAGTACGATTCGGCAATGCACCCAAAAACTCGTTTAGGTTGGAAATAGCCTGAATCATCGTCCCACCATCCCACAGTTCCCACTGGGCAGCTGCACGAATGAGTGCCATATAATGCCCGGGTCTGTGTAAAATACAGGCAGAAATATGAGGATGGTCATTGAGGTCATTGCCTGCCATCGCATGATGCATAAGAAGGTGGCGACCATGGAAAGCTAACTGTAAGACATTTCCAGTAAAGCCTCCTGAGGTAGTATAGTTACTACCTTCAGGAGGTGGGCTATTATGGTCAAACAACAACTGATTTTCAACAGCGTCAAGCTGATAAGCAATCGTAACAAACTGTGACGCAGTATAACATTGACGCTGATAAGCCTGTAGGCARACATTTGTGGCTGTCAAACCACAAGAATTTGGTAGGTCTGCCSGCAGATCCGAATCGGTCACCACCGGAAAGCCAGCTGTGATTTGGCGGGGTCGGCGCGTAAATGATGAATGCTGCCGACGTGGCAGAGCAGGTTGTCGGTAAGACAAAGAACACCCACAAATTAGCATCAACACGACGTCAAGAGGAAGGGGGACTAGGAGGAGAGAATGAACGAGCCTGCCGACGTCCCAATATGGACAACGAAGACAACGGAGGGGCCGGTCGTAGCCGGCGTGGGGAAGAAGAAGAAGACAAACTAGAGGGGACAAATGAGGAAGAAGAAGAAGAAGAGGTCGAAAAAGAAGAAGAAGAAGAAGGAGAAGGACAAGAACAAGAACAAGAAGAAGGGGAAGAGGACAAGAACAAGAA